AATGCTGCTGCCTTCCCGGTAAAGATTCCGGTAGATCTTTGCTGCAACACAAGGTAGCTTGGCAATTAGGTCCATACAGTCTTCATAAATCAACTGAAGAAAAGATGGAGAAAAAAAAAGGAATTACCTGCAAAGCATTATTAGGCTGCAACACTGTTTGTGTATCTGGGTTGATAGCTGTATGCTGGGTAGTTATAAAGTTTATTAAGGAACAACAATAACCATATACTGAGTAAACTACTGCAACCCAGGTTTCTAATACAGTTTTCTTCCTCCTGAACATACAACAACCACCTCACAGACAAGGAGCTGGGGTTCCTAGGACTCAGTGAAGGATTAAACCGGAATGCTGATGTGTGCTGCGTTGTGATGTTCTCAGGAACCTGTAACTCTACACTAAATTAATGTGCTGAGATATCGTCTGTACATCTTTAATTTTTAAGAGTTGTAGTTATTATTATTGTACGTGTTTAACATGCATGTAAGGGGCAGGAGTCCCACATGCCACCGCACACAGTGAGGTTAGAGGACGACCCCGTGAAGCCCCGTGCCTTTACCTGCTGAACCCTTTCACTGGCCCACTTTCTAAAATTAATTCATTTCTGTATTCTAATGTTTAATTTAATCCTATATTTTATCTTCCAGTGAAAATTTATTACCTATGTTAAGAGTCAAACGGTGCTGACCAATTACTGAATAGCAAAAGCTTCAAGGTTTAGGTATGTATTCTGCGAGATATATTATGCAAGGATTTGATACATGTGTACTTTTACAGAAAACTTGTGCAGCACGGAGGAGGCCGGAGTTTGATACCTGGCATTTGCCTAAAACTTTATCCAAAACATGGGGCTGGAGAGATGGTTCTGCAGCTAAGAGCACTTGTTCTTGCAGAGATTCAGGCTCAGTTCCCAGCACCCAACATGGTAGCTAATGATGATCTATAACTCCGGTTTCAGAGGATCGGATGCCCTCTTCTGGCCTCCACATATACTACATGCATGTGGTGCATAGACACACTTGCATGTAATATGTAAAAAATAAATCTTGAAAAATATACCCTAGAAGAGGACACTAACTGGTTATTGAAAACACATGCACAAGTAACATCGTACAGACCGAGCAGGTTATATTTACCTATTTAGGAACACACACAACACACGCAAATGGGATCTTCTTAAACCCACATAATTTGTACTTTGTGGCGTGTGGGCTGGAAAGGGTGGTATAGTGTGTGCTGTGTACGGAGCGCGCACTGGACAACACCAACAACAGCATTTAGACCAGTGAGGTCCTTTTCATTTTCGGAGAATGAAATTTGTCTCAGGGTCTTATAAGCAGGATGCCAGTCACCTTTTCTCTCCCAACAGTATCTGGGGTGGTCTAACCCAGAGTGGGCCTGGCCTCAGTCCTCCCAGACTACTGTGATTAGCTATCGTTCACCCAAATCCTAAGGCGTCATGGAGACCCTCCTTGTTTGGGGCTGGTGAGGTGGCCCAGTGGACACTGATCCCTGGCACCCACACTGTATGAGGAGAAGTCGGGTTCCTGTAAGCTGCCTTCTGACCTTCACATGCTGTGTGAGCGCACACACACAGAAACAAGCCAGACAAAGGAAAACACACAGGGAAAGAAACAAGTCTACCATCTTACAGTCAATTTTTGTTTTAGTGCTGGGGACTAACTCGGGGTCACAGTTTGTGAAGTGGGTTCCTGGGGTAACTCGGAGGTGCTCTGAACCCCATTACAGCCCAGTCACCCCACTCAGATTTCCTACCTCCCAGTACTTGGTTCGGTTGATCCCCTCTGCATATGCCCGGGCAAAGTTACTCTCACTGTTGAGGGCTGTGATGGCTGCACTGAGCTGAGACA